GGGGGGGGGGGGGGGGCACACACACACACCCACAAACGAACACACGCACACCCACAAACGAACACACACACACCCACACCACTGAAAGTGATTCAGCTTCCTGCTCAAGGATGTTGTGATAAAACCAGAAAGAATAACATTTACCTTTCTGCGTTCAGAAGGAAACCAGGCGGAACAGAGCAATAAAACATTTCAGCAGCGTAATACTTGCAGTAATAAACAGATAACTCACCACAGGCAGTCACTTAACCTGCAGGGTATTAATATTTCTGACATCTGTGGTGATAACTCGTGTCGGATGCATGTGTGGGATTTGCACAAATTGTCATAATTCCTCTTTCCAAGATTTGTTGCAAGTCTCTGCTGTGTTTGTTGTGTTTGTAGACACACGCATCCTCAGGGACTTGCTGCAGACTCAGAGAGGTATCCAGGCCAAATTACGCCACCGAGCGACATAATGCTTTTGGTAACCTACTTAGACAATAGAGGGAGTCTCCAGATGATACCAGGTGACCAAGTGCAGGGCATCTCTGTTCCTTGTGTCCTACACACGCTCTTTTAAAACGCAGCCGTTTCCTGTGATGGATACGTTTTCAAACCCTGGAACATGTTCTGAATCTTTCCTCTTGGCCCTACAGTAAAGCTAATCGACAGAGATCTTGCATCATGCTTCTCTTCTAATCCTTTCTTCAGACTCCAACCTGCAGTCCAAGTTATTTTGCTGAGTTGCTGGCACATTACCGTACCAAGCCCTGTCAGAGCTAATGACAAGAAGAGCCACTCTACAGGCACCCGCAGCATACTGATGTACATTCAGAGAGGCTGTGAGGAACAGACAGTCTGCCTTGTAACATTTTTGCCTCGACTCAAAGCAGCAAATCAATCACGCCTGCATCCTACATCATTAAGCCCCTGTGGGATATTGATCAGGACGTTTGGCCTAAGAAGTGCTGAGTGGCACTTTACGGCCACAAGGTGTCTCACCACGTCTATTGTGGTCCCATCTCTGAGTGGACACTGGGCTGGTCTCTCAGCTCTAAAGACACAGAGCTGGAAACTGTGAATAGACCCTGGCTCTCTCTCTCTCTCTCTCTGACCGTTACTATGCTCCCAAAAAAAGTGTTTTTTGTAAGAGCTTGTGTCACATAAACTAAGTGACCTCCTATGAGTGGCCCTGAACCATTAGCATTTGAGTGATCCTGCCCTGCAGCTCTCGTTGAAGGAGAATACCACAAAGCAGGCTGTATTGTTTAATCAGAAGCTGGCATGGCATCAACACAAGCTCATATTTTTCTGAGCTGCCTCTGCAGGGAAGTGACAACAATGAGCCATACGCAGGCCCAAGGTTCCTGCGAATGCTACTGTAGAATAGGCAGCATAAACAGACATTTCCTCTGCCTCCGACTGTTCCAGCAACACAAACCTCACTGTTAAACACGTGACACAGTAAACAGACAGACGTTAGAAATATTAATTCATTATGTATCAGCAATATATTTACATCTGAGGGGCATTGTTCTCAGAGGACACGTCAATATTGACTCTGGAACATCACTCCTATAACAATCGTTGCTTCATTAGAGGCTTTTTCTATATTTGTCAAGTCATTTACTTCCTCTGACCACACCATCCTCATAATGTAATCGAGAGCAATCAGCATATTGTCCTTAAGAGCTGGTTTCAGCTGGATTTGCCTTCCAGCCATAATGGGCATTTTTGCAAATCACCTCTCTGCTTGATGCAATATAGGCTCATCTTATAGCCCTACCCAAAGAGCCAAACCCACCCAGTCTCACACAGTCGCGCCAATCCCTGAGTTTCAGGAGCTCTCCGTGTTTTCCAGGCTGCCTCTGTCTCGTCCCACTCACACTCTCTGTCAGAGCGCGGCGTTGACAGCCACTGGCCACTGATCAGCCCAGTTTGTCGGGGTCTGTGTCTCCATGCAACACTGCTGAGAAAGAAGCTCTGACTCTCGCTTTTTTTGCTTTGAGTGCAAGGCAAGCAGCCCGTCCACGGCATCGAAAGCACACCAAGTGAAAAAAGCCTTTTTAAGTACATTTTTATTCCAGACTCAACAGTGTCCCTCAGCTCCCTGCAACTATGTCTGGAGAGGACGCACCTGCCCAGCAGCAAAACGCCGTGGACCAGAAGCAGGAGACCAAACCAGCGGAGGAGCCCAAACCCGAGCCGCCCAAAACGGAGTCCGCTCCCGACGGCGCAGCCGAGGCAGCGGCTACCCCAGCGGCCGCCACCGAGAAGGTCCCCGAGGAGGAGGCGTTCAGCTACCGCGCTCTGGTGCTCACCGGCTACGGAGGCTATGATAAAGTCAAGCTGCAGGTGAAGAAGGGGAAGCCGGCTCTCAAGGCTGGAGAGGTGCTGGTGCGGGTCAAGGCATGCGGGCTCAACTTCGCCGACTTGATGGCCAGGCAGGGGCTCTACGACCGGCTGCCGTCCCCGCCGGTCACCCCAGGGATGGAGTGCTCCGGGGTGGTGGAGGCTGTAGGAGAAGAAGTGACAGACAGAAAAGTAAGCACACACGACGCTCTAGTTTATTTTCCTGCCCATTGAAATCACACTATCCCTGTGTCTGTTTATTTTTGTTTAAATGATGAATATTGCTCTGGATTTGGTGCTGAGCAGCTACATCTGGATATGGGCGTGTCAGGCTGTGCTCGCTGCTCAGGCAGTGGCACTGGTGCTGCACATTGTTACAAACTGTTTCATGATTGAACGAATTTAAGACTGTTAGTCCAAGCAGTCAACTCAAGCTTAGCTAACAACAAAACCTGGCTCTTATATAGTTCATTCTTGGTTTGGTTTTGCTGCTCATCCATTGATTCTCTCGTGCGTAAAAACGAGACACTTGTTCACTTGTTGTCTGAAAATGTGAAGCATTGAAGCCTGGTTGTGTGTTCATGTTGCATATCATCTGTTTCGAAGGAAACCAAAGTGTAGAAATGACACGAGTTGAGCACAATGAAAGCAGCAGCAGGCGTCGCCCCTCTTGTCTCCCCCGGTTTTCAAATTGTGCTCCCTGTGCGCACGGATGAATAAACTTCGTATTTAGGCAACGAGATAGAAAAGTCTCTGTGGTGGAGAAGTACTGAATGTTCATATACGCAACATCTGTGTTGTAAATGTTAAGTCGACATGAACACATGCAAATAAATCCGTGGGATGCTTTCCACCCAGGCTGCGCCTACGCTGTGCGCTCTGCTGTGCGCCACGGCGCGCAGAGGCGTGTCAAGCGAACCGAAGAAGGCCACGATAAGACCGGAAATTAGACCGTTCCGGCTTCAAAATTAAAGCTTTAAAGTCACATGAGTTTCCTTTGTGTGTCTGTGTAGACAAGATAGACGAAATATTGAAAATGTGTAAATGATTCTACAAGAAGGAAAATGTAAAATGCTGCTGGACGTGCAAAATCGGTGATATACTGCACATGTAGGCTGTAAGGCCGCTATTGTATGCCATCCTGCATGGACATTTATAGCTCTTACTTTATCTGCAAATAAACCATTACGGATCACAAACAACTTTATTTCCTATATCCACGACTTCAGATACGTTTATTTCAAAATGTTAATTAATAAGGGCTTTTATTCTGGAGACTAGGGGGTGCCACAGTTGTTAATATGGCTGACTTCACACCGGTGGGCAGACCGGAGTCACAGACGTCTTTTGTTAACGGTGGCGCACCGAGCGTAAAGGGCGAGGCGCGTCGCAGATGTAGACATGATGGTGTGATAGAAGGGATCACTCGCCCTCTTTGTCAACACGGAGCCTGTGGTCTCATGTTGTGGTCAGAAAATATCAACAGTCATAAAGAAGACACGGTTAAAGTTCAAACTATCAACGAAACAATCACGATTAAAACGAGTTTCCCTTCAACGTTGTGGATGGAGTGAGTGATGAGTCACAGGCCTATATGTCTGTCTTCTGGCTGCATGGCATCACCACGGCAACGCCTCTGCAACACAATTAGGCGCAAAGCCTCAACGCTACACATCAGCCTGCGTTGACTCACACCGTTTATCTGCTCGAGCACCACATTCTTCTCACTTCAGCCTCCTAATATCTGTGGATAACTCCACACACACACTCACACACACACACACACACACACACACACACACACACACACACACACACACACACTCATCACATGTGTGATGCAAGTGTGGAATCAGTGCATCTGGCTGGATGTGGCTCATGTGTCTGTCAGGTGTCAGATCCATATGGATGGCTGGGGGGGTATCTATGCAGAGTAATGGGACTGGGATTGGTGATGGGCCATGGCCGGTGGCAGCCAGGCATCACAAAAGTTTGAGACCCCTGTGTTTTTAAGATAACTTCCCCGCTTCTTCCCACATTGTCAGTAATGTCTATTGGACTGAAAGGTCAAGCACAATCTTACACACACACACACACACACGCACAAACACACAGTTTGTCATCGAGGCCTCACTCCTCCTCCTCCCCCGGAGCACTCAGCTTATAAAATTAAGAGCCAATCTTTCTAATGGATGTAGATCTCTCAGATCTTTTGGCAGCATACTCTGAGGGAATGTGCTGACCCCAGTGAGAGTTTTTGGGAGGTGAAACGCTCGCTGCAGCTTTATCAGTCTGCCTGTCAATCTGTTTCCCTCAGACACACACACCACACAGCACATACACACACCCATAGACAAATCCAGAAATGGGTGTGTCTGAGTGTCTGCTCCATACACTGTACTCAAAGCTATATGAACACATGTCATTTAATTAGATAATGCAACCTTAACATCAGAAGCTAAGTGATTGATTTTAATTTAAATGTTTTTACATTTGGATAAATGGCTGTACCCGATGTTCTCAGATGTCAGTACCTGCTTCCTCACATATATATAAGAGACATTTGAAGCAGTTTTCAAGAAAATAATACCTAGTCCTAAGATATATTTTTAAATTCTCTGTAGTTAAAATGTATTTCCATAATTGTATTACATAAATGCTACACTCGTCTCCCAGACTTTGTTGTTGTGTTGACTGTTTTCATATGGATTTACGATCCCTGCCTCCTGTTGTGTTTCAATAAGTGCTGCTGCTGCTGCTGCTGCTTTTGAATAAGTGTCCCCTGGACAGACGGTAAAGTTGAGTGAAGTAATACAATGGTGAGCTCACCCGAAATGACCTACAGGGAGTGCAGGGAGAAAAAAGTACACCAGTGAGTAAGTGAGGGGAGAGGGGAAATATCACAAATCACACTGAAGCTCCCATGACACCAAACATCAGCACTTTTTTTCCTCGAGACCTTTTTTTTTCATTCTCCTCCTCTGAGTTTTGGTAGGATCTGACCCATATGTTCTCAATTACCTTCCTCTGGCCCACATTGTCAGTCTGGTATTTCCTCCATCCCTCCTTCTCTCCCTCTGTCTATCAATCCCTCCTTCCTTCGTATAATCTCTTGATTCTTCCTCCATCAATTGTGCTGTCAGTGAATCCTTCTATCATGCTGCCCTCCATTTATACTATCCATTGTCCTTCTCCCTTCTATTAAACCATTCTATCCCTCAGGATGACTGAATCCGCCTCCCTGTCCTGCTCTTTCCTGCTTCATGTTCCTCTCTCCATGATCTCAACATTTAAAGCTTGATTTCATACTCGACAGTCGGCCTCAAGCTGCTGGGTGAAAGAGGAAAATCAGATGTTTCTACTTTGTTTTCATCCCCCCCTTAAGATTGTCCAGTGTGGTTTTCCCTAAATTCTGGAAATTTCTGAGATTGAAAGTGCAGCGTGGCATCAAGGCTGAACAAGCAAGATCAAGAACAAATGGCATTTTGTCTGCGTGATATGGTGATTTGCAGCGAGCAGCATGTAGGTACTCTGTCAGGGGTGTAGCTGTATGTGAGCAGGGCTTGGCTCTTTATCTTGCCATCATGCAAACTGTGATAAACCACAGTAACACCTCTACGGACACCGGGGACATATTATGTTTCCTTTGAATAACATTTACCGGAGCCATGAGGAGTTGTATGGGTGATCCATTAAACCATCATCTCATGCCTCAACCTGACTCATGAACACTGCATCAGAACATTTTCTGCCCGTCTTTTATTTTTCCCTGATGATCTTTTATTTTTTTTGCTGAGTTCATCAAAGCTCCGAGCCACGAAGCAGCTGACTTTGAGGCCTGCATACCCCCCAAAAAACTGAATCACCATCTGATTAACTCCATTCAGATACAGTTAACTGGACATGTCTTTGTTCTGCGCCCACCCCCCCCGCCCCCTCATACCCATGACCCCAACTGTGACTACATTAGACGCAGTGGCATGAGGGCTGACGGGAAATGCAAGAAGCGCCTGTTTCTATGTCACGCTGCGAAGATGTTGTAACAGAAGTGTCGCAAGGCTCGCTCGCTTGGCCTTGAATGTTCCTAACCAGTTTATTTGTGACTGACAGTAACTCACGTCCTTTACATGGGCACAGAAGAATAGCTGCCGATGCATTTGAATGGCATGTGTGAGTCATGGTTGATTGTGTGTTTCCTGTAAAAAGCCTGAACTCCCCCGTCTATCGATTTGAGCTACACTTTACCTCCAATTAAAGAAGCAGGACTGATGAGTTTGAAGACTTGAGGAGGAGGAGAGAAAGGGAGAGGGACAGCGAGTCAGCATGAATAACAAAGAGAAGGATGGGAAAGTAGCCCTCGGTGAAAAAGTGAGAGCATAGTTTTAAAATAAACCAAATGACTTGGCCTCAGACCGAAAGATGCGGGTATGAAAGACAAAGAGAGAGGGAGATCTCTCTAATTGGAGAGGATAGACAGCGAGGCGCATGGCTCCCTCCAGACCATTAGAGAGGGCCGGGTAGAGAGGGTTTGTTCCCAGGAGGAGAGAGCTTGTCTTATGCTCAGCCATGGGGAAGAATCTGGCAGGGACTCTGATGAGTGGAGCGAAGCCAGGGGAGAAGATGGGGACCCATTGTCCTGCGTCGCTGATGAGGAAGAGGGGATACGGGACACGCCTCGCAAGGGAAAGGAGATAGAGGATAGAGGATGGGGATGACAGACAGAGACAGCGGAAGATGAAGAAATGGTGGATGAAAGAGGTAGCATCAAGAAGGCCGAGACGCAGACATGATGAGATGGAGGGGGGACCAGAGAAGGGGAAGGAAGACGCTCTAAAGTTGCGAAAGGAAAAGATGTCGGGAAGTGAAAGAGAAAGAAGGGAAGAGAAAAAGTGAGAATAATGGAAACAGGGCAAGAGCGAGAGAGAGAGAGAGAGCTGTGTCGAGAGAGGTGGATAAGGGGGAGGAAGAAAACAGGAAGAGAGTTATAATGCTGCAGTCGTCACCGTTTCCTGTGTCCCTCGTCGGGGCTCTCCTGATTGGTTAGAGAGGGCGCTTGGGGGAAGTTTACATCGGAGCTGATCCTTCTGGAAAGAGACAGTTGTGAACCGGAGGATCCTGCTGTTGATAAGAGATAAAGTCACAGAAAATGTCACAGAAAATGATAAGATGGGGATCAGGAGTTAAATGACGCCTGTGGCTTCCTCACTGTCAGAGGACTGGGTCTGAGTGATTGAAATGGCTAAAACTTAAATGACAATCACATCTTTTATTATATAAAAAAACATTCTGATGTTTCTATTAAACTTCCATAAAAACTAAAGCAGACAGAAAAATACAATAAGTACATTAGTTCAACAATTTTTCTCTGTAAAATCAACACAGCCTTCCTTACTGCTTTTACTCTTCTGCGAGTTACCTCTTTCCTAGTTTGCTTGAACTCGTACGCTGCTTTCAGACATGCTGAGCTCTGCATTGTCTACAGAGGAGGTGCATGTGTGAACACAAATGTCTGAGTGAGAGCCTCCAGATTTTCTGCAGACTTTCTCCTAGTATAAAAATCCGGAGAAACTCTTGGTTTGTTAGATGAGGTGGATCCATTTTTGCCCGTCTGCCTTTGTGTTAAGCAAAACTATGCCATTCCTGCTACGTTGCTCCCATCATTTCCATGGTAACAAAGAAACAGTGAGGCCGCAGTTTGCAGGATGCTCCAAACCACATCAGGGTTGAGTGGTGAAACCTCCTGGGGTACTGAACTGTCGGTAGAGTGTCTTGGTTTATTAATTTAGATGTTGTAAAATTGAGTTTTAGTTGAATAAGATAGCGATGTGGTCTGTCTGTGTGGAGTTTGCATGTTCTCCCATGTCTGTGTGGGTTTTCTGCAGGTACTCAGACTTCCTACCACTTTCCAAAGGCATGCTGGGTCATTGGAGACACTAAATTGCCCACAAGTGTGAAAGGGAGTGTGAATTGTTGTTATATGTTGTGCATTAGAGCAGTGGTACCCAAACCTTTTGTGGCCTCGGTCAGATGAACTCAAGCACCTCTTCTTCCCTGCAGCCCATCACTGATTATTACTTTTTTGAATTGTCTGACTGATACAGGCCGCACAGTTGGTACTGTCACCTCACTGCAAGAGGGTTTCAGGTTCCCACCCCGGTTCGGCTGAGGCCTTTCTGTGTTGAGTTTGCATGTTCTCTCAAGGCCCTCGATGGTTTTCTCTGTGTCGAGTCCAGGGTGTATACGTCAGCTGTGACTGTGAAAGGATGAGCTGTGTAGCTGTTTTACTATTGTCTTTGATTTGCTGCTCAATTGTCAGTTATTGTATAGATTTTATTAGTCACAGTTTTTGATGATTCCATGTTTTCTCTGACTCGCAGTAGAACACATTGTTTTCATTAACTGAGAATTTAGAGCCCTTTGCTTCACCCTCTTTTCATCCCCTGTCTTTCTGTGCCTTCTGTTGCAGGTCGGCGACAAGGTGATGGTGCTGAACCGCTTCGGCCTCTGGCAGGAGGTGGCAGCCGTGCCGGCGAGCCACACCTTCCTCATCCCAGAGGGCATGAGCTTCGAGGAGGCAGCAGCTCTTCCTGTCAACTTCATCACCGCCTACATGATGCTGTTTGACTTCGGCAACCTCCGGCCCAACCAGAGCGTCCTCATCCATGCTGCTGCAGGTGCTTAGATACAGGATACACAGCGTACAGTGCATGCACATAGCAGACACACACAACCCTTTTATTATACGTCAGTCTTAGCTTAGGAATCGATGGATCACTCCCCATGAAAGGGCAATTATTTAATTCAATATAAATTGACACATAATTAAATCACAAACTAAAATTAGCATTGTTTTCGTGTTTGCTGAGGTAGCTTTGAATAACTCAAGCTGACAAAGCTCCAGTATAGGTTTATGTTGTATTCCTGCATCTGAGAACCACATTTAATCAGTTTCTTCTCTTCTATTGTTCTTAAATTCTGTACAGAGCTCTGCTTACTGCTCTGTGCTAAGTTGACACAAAGTAGATCTAGTTTTGCAGATCCATAGAGTCTTCTGCAAAACCTCAGCTCACAGACACAAAAGATTGTGTTATTGCTCTGAAGGAACATCCTGACATATTTATCAGACTTCTTCCTTCTCTGAACCTCCTGTTTATACATTTCTTTTCTGTGTAAGATATGGCAGTTGGAGAGTATCCCACTGTTAGTGTGAGATATGGCTGCACCAAACTTATTCCGGAGCACCTGCCACCTGGACTGAAAGGTCAAAGTTCGGAGTGAGTGGGTGGGGAATAAAGATAGGGATTGAGGGAGGGAAAGCACCTGTTTTGGGGCGTGATGTACAGAGCCTGAGAGCATTTACTTTAGCTCTGTTTACACAGTCAGACCAGCTGGAGAGAATAGGAATGAATTAACCGAGAAAAAAGATTGTTCTCTCCCCTCTTCCCTCTCTCGCTATATGTGCCGGTGTAGAGCTCCCACTTTGCCTCCGGTTCCCACTCTTTTTGTGCACATGGAGTCGGAGAGGGATCCCTTGACATTTGGGAGAGTGCGTGGGTGTAGATGGCTCAGGGACGAAAATTGTATATAATGAAACCTGAGCCTGTTTTCTCTGTGGGACACAAAAACAGTAACAGCGGGCTTTGAGGGAACCTGCGAACCGAGGTGGATGTATCTCAAAAGGATGCAGGATCAATGAATTTGCAAGATTAAAATAAAACTGTTGATTCGCTCAGAGCTGAATGACAGACTCATATTTGTGGGATTTTTGGTCACAGAGGAATCCCTAATGTTTGCGTACGCAATATCATTTTGCTGACGTCACTCATCCCTGTGAACACACACATCGAGGTTTTCTGCGCGGGGTATGTTTTGCTATAGGAGGAATGCTGTGGTGCAAGATGCTTTTCCCCGCCGGTTCGGTCCAGGCGGCGTCTCTGGTTTCTCAGGGCGGGCTGCCAGTCTTGGCTCGCCAGCTGTCCCGACATCAGGATTGTAAAAGCACATTACTGAGGCTCTGACAAAAACATTTGCTTCACAGTCTGCTTGCCTGCACTCCGTCAGTCTTTGCATGTGTGAATGATTATCATGCTGCTCTACAGCACTGTTCCATTGAGACCTTGAAGCTTTGTAATAGCTGTGTACATTATGATAGCAGCTTTGTTAAAGAAAAGAAAGTTGTCGCCAGTGAGTGAGATGTGCACATTTTGCTTTTATAGCTGTCTCTCTAAAGTGTAGGGGTGTATGACTCCCGTGGTGCTGTGTGTGTGTGTGTGTGTGTGTGTGTGTGT